AAATGTTTTCCACGAAAGTTAAAAGCTAGAACGAATTTTTCACTTAGCGTTGGCTTGACGTGCGGCTTTACACAAATTGTTTTCCAGATTTCTTTGTAATGTAAATTGTTCTCTCACTCATCCACGTTCCAAGTCTTCACAATAATTTTAAATTGGCTTTGGATAAAAATATCAATTAAAATAATCTGAAATTATCAAAACTTGATATCTAAATGTAATGTGGATAAACCGACCAAAGAAAACATATCTAAAAATAAATATTGGCATTTAAATATAGGCCCACAGCTTAATAATCTCACAATGTCAATCCGTAAAAAAAATATGAAGCAAATAGTTACTCTAATTATTACTGTTATCAATACGATCTCAGTAATAAAATCAACTACATGTCATTAGGCACAAAAATGTCAGGTACTTACATATTATAATAAACACACCGATTAATCGACTTCCAAATGACATTGATGCATTTCACTGCAGGAGTTTATAGCAATCTTTTATTTTATTTTATAATCGGATTTTCGCAATTTTTAAATAAATGGTGACAGAGTAACGATTTATTTGCCATTTTTACTGTAGTTTAATATCATACAGAAAACGGGCAAACAATGTGGTACTTACAGAATTATAACGACCACACCGATAAATCGACATCCAAAAAAAGATTTTAATTAGTTTAAATAACAAAATCTTCCTAACCTAACTTAACCGAACAACTCGTTAGGTTTGGTTATAATTATTAGGTGTGGCTGGTATAATACGTAAGTACCAAATGTCATTAAATGGTTTTATTAAGCTTTTATGTTCACATTTAAGTGAAAAACGAAAGTACTGTATATAAATCTATTTAAAAAAAAATTACAAATGTAAAAAAAACTGATCAGCCAATGTAAGTTCCTTAATCACTCAGTATCAAAACATAATAAAATCCATCTAGCTTGTATTTAAATATAGAATTCACGTTTCAAATAGACTAATGCTTTTAGTTTTAAATTTTGAGCTTCATTAAAGCATATCTTATCCATGTATAGAAAGATAGACTCATCACAATGAAACTGAAGCACAAACTCCTATGTTGAGGCTGGATTGGGCTGTTTTGTTCTCTTTGCGTCTAAAAACGAACTTTATGATTAAACGGACACTGAGAATAAAAGATGGTTGGGTTTTCTTCATACACATACAAACCCAGAATTACAGTTGTTAACTATACACACTAAAGCATACCTTATACAAATGTTTATTTATTTTCCATAAAAAAAATAAGTTTTTACCTTGAAAATTTACTTGATTATTTTGCCAAACACTAAACAGAGTTAACAAATACATCCTTGACCAAAAAACTATGTGGGAATATAGTTTTTAGAACAAGATTAAAACAGATTTTAGCCGTTTTATAAAATTACAGTCGTGGGTGGGTCTGATTTAAGAAAAAAGATTAAACTTTTTTATTGAACATTAAAGATTTAATGTAAAATTACATAAAGTGAAGAAATCGAATGATAAAAGGCTGCAAATGTAGTAGGTGTACAGGTGAAACAAGGTCATCGTGTAAGGGTCCTCCAAAAAATTCTAAAGAAAGATCTTATTGATGTATCTTATAAAATCAGTCCTTTCCAATGATTTATCTTATAAACCAACTACATTTTATGACTGTTTTGTTGATAATAGAGTATTGCTTCTTCAACAGTATACCAAATAAAGTTATATTGCACAGCTTTTAGGAATATAATTTGAAATTGAAAATAACAAATGACAGACACCTTATCAACAAGGCATTTAAGGACAAATATTATTCTTAATTTTCTTTTTCGTACCCATTGAACATGTTCCCAAATTATTTGTACTTACTAATGGGGAACTCTGTGTTAACAAAATCTTTAGAGACCTTGGAGGCAAGTGGCCATCTTGGTTAATAATTGTAAACAGCTGATAATTAGTTAGTTACCATCTAAAAACATTTTTTCAAACACCAATGTGGTTATAATTTAAATATCTAGGACACTGTGGGATTAGAAATTTTCTTTGTAGTTTTGAATTGTTTTTGAAGGAAGACCATGGAAGCTAACGGCCAACTTGGGTTTGCCCAACATAAGAGCAATGTTAATTTTGTCAATTTCAAACAGCTGCTGAAGTGTCTACCATCTCTAAATATTTGTTCAAGTACCAAAGTTATTGTAATTAAAATATCTAGTGCAGAGTTCTATTACAAATTAATTTCCTTTGAAGTTTTTTTAATTGTTTTATAAGTTAGAACGTTTACGCTCGAATGACTCTTAAGGAATGAAAACAAAATACCACAGCTGCAGTTTTATAAAAGTAATTTGTAGTCAAAGCATGTCTGCGTCATCTTGATCCTGGTTCTTTGTAATGTGGATCTACAGTTGATGACAAGTCTTTACGAGAAGCGCACGTGACTAAAATGTTGAAGAATTTGAAGATATTTTATTCAATCAAAGTAATATTTCAATTTAGTATAGTTTTTTTTTAGTTTTCATCCAATAATGCCCAAGTTTAAATCTAATATTGAACTGTTATAACAATTCATTTGTTATTGTAATATTTCTTTTCATGAAAACCATAAATATGAAAATTACTCTAGTCGATATTTTTTTCTACTACTTAGAAAATATCTACAAAGTATTTTACGTCATACATAGGTCTATTATTATATTATGAAATGCCATATTTGGTTATTGCGTAAAAAGTGCGTATAAAATCTAAAGAAAGTAAAATAAATTATAAAATTCAGGGCCATAATTACAGTTTCATTTATGTTACCCAACTTTGTCGTATATATGAATAAAATAGCGAAATACAGTCAAGGGAGTGATTATGATTAGTGTTCCTCACTGTGTCACAAGTTATTCTCCCTCTAGAGTAACAAGTTGGTCTTACATAATCAGAGAATATTTAACCCTAATGAGTGAACTTAATATGGTTAGGAGACTATTTCTTCTGATAAATGAAATTAATTAATATATAACAAAGGTTTTGAAAATTGATTGTATTTTTCATGTAGTTTTTAAGACGTTTAATTGTTTAAAGATTACATAAACTAATGATTGTATATGTTTTATTAATTTATGCTTACAAAATAGCTAAAAAAATGTTTTTGACACAAAAGCTTAGCTTAAAATAGGAATAGGTGTTTGATAAACTCTTTGATAATCAATGCTTTACATTTTATTTGCTTTTAAATTATCCCTTGACAATTTGAAATACATAATTTTCATGATATCAATTATTTTTACGATTTCAAGAATTTACAAAATAACAAGTCTACACTGTCTAATGTGGCCTGTGGAAAAACAACTGTAGTATCTTGATGTTGGTTCAGTACTACTAAACTTAACAAGATTAAATAAAAAGAAAGATTGAAAAGGAAATAATTTGTTTGTTAGTTAATTGTTAGTTACAATTAATCTAAAATTATCTTAAAAGAGGATTCTGTTGTACTGAATAAATAAATTGTTAACACGTATTTTGGAACTAAATTATACTCAAACTTTTTAATTCTAAGTACCTTATCATGATATTGAGACCGTAAGTTTACTACTACTAATTATTGTACATACTTTAAAATATGCAGCTCAACTTCAAACTAACTTAGTGCATACCTTGTAACCTAATAGACATCAAATTGGCAAGTTTGATCTCTTGCTTCGAGTTGTAAATCCCTATTAAATGAGGTAAAATAGTCGAAATAATAGTTGATTGCTCTGTTGTAGATAGTTATTCACTATTTCAAAAACTTCATTTTAATTATTTTTATTAAATACACAAAAGGTAATGACAACGACGTTTAAATATTTTGAACGAAATCTTAGTTATTATTTTTTCTGTACCATTAATGACAATGAACCTTTTACCATTATGCCTTTTCTCTTGATTTTACTTTATAAATAACGAATTAAAGTGTTAATTAAAATATATATTGCATCCCGTGAAATAAAAGAAGCCCTAAGTTAATAAAGCTGCAAGTTCGACAGGAAAAACGATAAAGAATTGCTGGGAGGGGTTAGCCAATAAACCTGAATCTGCCACCTGTTCCTTGCCATTGTCTTCTAAATAACTCAAACGTTTTACGTTACGAAAGATAAGGTTTCTTAAATTTTAGCGTCATTGGCTCCTTTTTTCATGGGAGGTAACATTTCCTTGATCTTACGGTATTATTATTTTTGTATTTTTTCTAAATAGGTTGGCGGCCTCTTTTAACCTTGCATTTGCCCGTCCACATAGACTACAGATCTGTGCGTGGAACGTATTCAGCAAAGCAATGGGTGAGCCGGTACAGTACAAAGGTGAACTGTACTGATAAAAGTTAGTGGCAGTGACCAGGATCCGAACCCACGACACTACTGCCTTGGGCCCGAAGTCCGCGACGCTACCGACTCACCAACTATTAAATTAAATTTATAATAGAAATATTTTAAAGTATATGAATGCGGTGTGAAAATTAACTTTCATTGACGAGGTGGTTTACTTAAATAGTTATAATTTTTTTTTAATACCTACAATAATTTGTATGAGCCAAACCTAATGTAAGATATAACATAACAATAACAATGTTTTCAAGTAATTTGAAACGTAAAACAATAGGACCATAGGCAGGACTAGGCTCTCCTATATTAGCGAAACTTTTAACAAAACATTATCATCGTAACATCGTAATAAACACATTCCGTCATAATTTTATAAATTTTCTGTGTTTTGGACTCAACTAGTTTGAAAAAAAAAACGGAGGGAAACAAGAGGGGTAAGGAATGTTAACAGCTGGGTAATGTCTGATGATGGGAAATGGAGGGAAAACCCAGAGCTCATTGCACTTGAATTCCTCACATTCATAGGCTAAACAATACAAAGGGTACTTATAGCTCTTAATTTACAGAACGTTAAAAATAATAATTAACATAGAATATTTATACTTAAGCGTCCTGTTATAAAAACTTATATTATTAAGATATGAATGAGGAATAAGAATATTTTTATATTTGTTTCAGATATTCATGACTTAGAACCTGCATTTGTTTGTAAGTATAAACATTTATGAGTTCTACATTTTAAGGTAGCTGCAAAATTAAAGGTCTTGTGATATAATAGTTGAGATAATTGTTTAATGTATACATCACTAAATATATCGATAAAATCGTATGCTTTACAAAACTTTAACTAAAAAAGAGTATACGATATTCTCAGGAAAACAGTGTCAATTAGATGACTCTTTTACAAATGTTTATCACATTACAGGGAACTGTTAAAGTGTGCTTCAGCGAAATCACAAAGCTGTTATTTCTGTCTGTGACAACTGTCTAATTAAAAATTACCTTTCTTTTCCACCGTTACAACTATTTCACTTCTTTTCAACAAAACTTTTAAATTGAGTAACACAGTTCAACAGTAAAATTTGAAATATGACAATTTTATAACCAACTTCATTGCTTATTGTCTATCCATTCATAAACTATTTATAGCGCTAAAATAAATTTAAAATACTAAATACTTAATACGATACTATACTATCATCTTATACGATTATTCAATTTGTTAAGTTAAGTGTAAAACCCATAAAATCGAAGTATTAAGAATAACCTCTTGGGTTTTTGGCGTTGCGAATTCAAGTAAAACCTCACAAAAAGGTTTCGATGAAAATTTGTATAAACTTAACCATATAAATATACAGGGTGTTCAAAAAAGTTGGGAATATTATTTGCGAAGTGATCCCTTGGGTATCACGAATCAAGACGATTTTTTTTCTAACATGGGGCTTGTCTATCTTAACCAACTATACAAAGTTTCATAAAGATCGATTGAAAAAATCTAAGATAAAAATGTTTATAACAAAATTCAAAATGGCGAATATCTGGTTAATGAATCGATTTTGGAAAAAGTATTATTGATGATTTTCTCTTTATTTTGAACCAAGGAATCACTTCGTAAATTATGTCCCCACCTTTATTGAACACCCTGTATAAAAAATAGTTTTGCCATTAACTATATTAGTTAGTGTTGATAAAAATGTAATTATATGCATCCGGCTAGTTAGAATTTGCAAATAACAAATATATGATTTCGTCTTTTGAAATGACAACGTTAAATAATAAAAAAAATTGTATATTATTTTGTAGAGTAAATATAAATTATAGCGATTTAATTTTAAAAATAAAACTCTTGTCTGTACTAGAGTTTTACTTTCAAGAAATATAAAAGAGAGTTAACATTAAAAGTAGGTAACTAAACATATTTTTTTTCATTCCTGGAAATCAATTATAGTACATATCAACATAAATGGGACCCATGTGTTACAAACACAATACAAACATGTTAGAATATGGCAGATACACTACATTCAGTGTTAAATAGGTTCACGTTATTCTTTATAGCAAAGACAGAGTTACAACCCACTTACGAAGAGATAGTAGGTCGTTAATATGTTCTCGGACGTGACTTTTCTCTTCCTTGTTTCAGTCTCAGGATTTTACAAATTTGAAAATATTTTGCATCAAGGTAAAAAATAGATAGATTGATCAAGTATTGATCTAAATAATACCTACATATAAATTCATTAACAAGATAGGGTTCCTAGCTTATATCTAGTTCACCACATGTTACCGTAGGTGCTATGAAGTGAACTACAAGTCAACAAACCTTTTAGTCTAGCCCTACAATTTTCTTGTAGTCTTAATTAACTTGAATATAACACAAAAATAACAAATATTTAAGAGAGTTAAACTAACACTTATATGGGAAATCCTTCTGACTTTGTCATTTTGGTTATACAGCCAAAGGGTTCATCGTTGAGTCAACGATACACAAAAATCCGTTTTGTATATCGTTGCGTTGAGTATATACTCGTATGTATATATAAAATAACACACCTTCTCTATTCACTGTTTCAGTTTAATTATAAAGTATATGTTTTGGGGCTAAGAGAACAAAGTAACTTCATCCAACTTTAACATACGAGTGTATGTTCAAGTTTTGTTGGATTTAACATGTTTCCATGTATGAATAAAATAAGCTACTCTTGTTTAATATTTATAGAAATTATTGGTTCAAACAACACAACACAGCTAAATAAATATTGATTATGAGTCGATATAATTCAATTGAAAATGTACACAAGTAAGTATATACTCTTCGCACATGCCAGAATAAAAGACTTACATGTTGAGATATGGACGTGACCCAAGAGGGACGGGTCACGCCAACATTACAATAATCTATAAAAAGTGTAAAAGTTGGGAATTTTCAGGTATTTTGCGCTATGAGTTGGGATTCGGGAAATTTGAAACTGTCGACTTAAAGATTTATTTTAAAACTAAGCAGACGTGTTCTCTTCTGTAAACATAAATAATTAAAGTAAACAAGAGTCTAAGGGTTCTAAGGGCAATTTATTACTGGGCAGAGTCGTATCAACTGAAATTTTATTTGGAAAAATCATTTTAAGAGGCTGTAAACTTAACATGTTATTGATTAGTACAGTGTGTACAGTCATAACACAATAACAGTCATAACACAATAATGTGTGATAAACCTTCATTTGTTGTTATTTGTGCCAAATATGTATACTTACTGTTAAAATTTAATATTAATTAGTTGGGAAATCTTTGGCAATATAGTTGGGAAATCCGTGTGATGTAGTCGAGAAATTCGAGTAGTTGGGAAATTCGAGTAGTTGGGAAATTCGAGTAGTTGGGAAATTCGAGTAATATAGTTGGGAAATTCGAGTAATAAAGTTGGGAAATTCGAGTACTATAGCTGTAAATCCGTGTGATATAGTCAAGGAATTCGAATGATATAGTTGGGAAATTTGAGTATTATAGTTGGGAAATTCGAATAACATAGTTGGGGAATCGAATCCGTATTGGGGAATTTCAAAGTCTCCAACCGTCCAATATTTTTTTAACACCTCTGCATGGAGACAATAATATCCTAACATTCACGGCTACACCGCCAGTATGTTAAAATGAATATTTAAAGCTAATCTATTACGTAAAATTAGTATACGATGCGTTTAGAAGGTAATGAATGTTTTGTGTGTAAGCAACCCTCAGCTAATCAGCAGCCTAGATGGGCTAATTTCCCTTGAGATGGTGTCGTCATTGTCATTTGTGTCCAAGACCTGCACATAGATTACATCCTGTCCTGTAGACTTGATAAGCTCAACGGGAAGTCTTAATTAAATTCACCAACTGATTATTAGAGAGAATTTGTCGAAAATTGGGATTTCAGAACAAATGGATTCATAATAATAGTAGGATTTGAAAACATGACTCCTTACATTTTTAGGAAATATTGTTCAAAAGTAATGTATTTTACTAGATGTACACTAAAAAACTAACTTAGTACCATTCCTTAAATTCTAACAGGTCAAAGGCGTTAGAAGTTCTTATCACACTCTTACATTGCAATATCTAAAAAAATATTGGTAATCATCTGTAGAGTAATAAAAAACCCAAGTAGATAACGTATTTTAATACTGCATTAGAATAAAAAAAACATACCTGATTCTGAAAATAGTTTTGGGTACCGTAGAGGGGGGGGGTTAAATCATATTAACTTATAAAGCCTATTTTCGGAGTTTAGGAAATAGGAAAAAACAAATCTTATTAAGGTTTTAAGAGAAAAAAATTAGGAATGTTTATGTTTATCTTAAATGCACACACACACATTTATTTTTTACACATCTTTCAGTATATTTAATTACAAAGAAACATTTCCAAGTGCTTGTTAAGTGACATTATAAACATTCATGTTTTCCAAGCGCCACCGCGCTGCTGTTTCAGAGCATGTTTTCCAGTTATTAAGCTAATTTGCTGGAGCAGAACTGGAAAATTGTTTCTCATACTTCAATTTCATTTTGTTGTAATTTTAGGTTCTGAAATATGTATATATTAATTGTAATGTGTAGCGCAATATAGCTTGTGCTTTGTAACACTTGATTTTATAATAAAACATTTTATAGTTGAGATAAAATATTTTATAATTGCCATAAACAACCCTCAAGCAAAATAAAATTACTTAAATGCATTCTTTAAGAAGTAAACATATTTTTGTATTTTGCACAAGATTTACAAATAAATTTTCTGGTAAATAAAATAATAATGCACTATGAATGTGAGAAAGGGGGCAAGGGGGGAAGGAGTTGGTCTAGTAGAGCGCGGGACTTCGGTTCCAGAGATCCCTGGTTCAAATCCCCCCAAATAACCAATGGATTTTAACCATGTGATAATGCCGTAACCCCTAGGTCTAGCCTGAAGTAATGTGAAAAACAATTCCGGGCTCGTGCCTAGGACAAAAAAATGCATGTGAGAAAAAAGCATGCTTCTTGTGGACATTTATTTCATTTTCTACCCTTTCTAGCTTTAAATTAAAAACTGTTTTCCACAATTTAAACTTTAAAATATCCCCGAAACAACATGTTAAAACATTCAATACCTTCTTATTTATTTGCAAGTATTTTCGAACCTTCGAACCGCCTATAAAACGTCTGGAACATAAATAAATGTTGAAGACAGTAAAGTATTATGCACTATTAAACCCCGAACTTTGTCGCTGTCGGGAAATGGCGATAAATATAAGTTAAGACCACCATCGATCACAATGTGGTAGTCTTTCTTACTTTGCATTCTAAAAACCTGACAAAATTATCCCCACTTATTACGTTATGTATTTGATGAGGTAAATAAGTTCTTTCAAACGGATCGGAAGGATTCTAATTTCGAATTTCGACAGTATATGAGTTGGAATCTTCCTATTTACATGAGCTTTTGAATATTTAGCATTAGCTCTAAGCTTGAATTTGAATATGTATGACTTAGGATTATGCATGTTCATCATTAAAAGTTTATATTCTCGAATGCTTACGTCAGCACTGTATCATAGAAATAGATATGGAATTTTAGAATCAGGTTGGATACAGTTAGAGAAATTACGTCTGAATATTAAACATTGAATTAATTGTTTTTTACACTCCATAAAATGTGATACCCTTTTAGGCTGCACAAGCTTTTTCGCTGCTTTAAATAAA